CCTGCACGAAGTGGTTAAGAGATGCAGGAACTTAGTCCTAATAACCAATAAGTGAAAAACATTCCATCAACCGCGGCTGAACGCGGTGCCTGAACATTGCCAAAATGGACTTTTACAACCCGAGCTAACCGATGTACTCATGATGAAGTGTAATGGCAGACTCAGAATGGTGCGGACATCGACTTTCAAACTTACCAAATAACTTTACTTAGATGGCTTAACTTATAAAAACTGAGGCTAATTAGATTTATTTAGCATATTTCCATTAGATCTACTGTATAACAGTATATTTGTACATCATTGTTTTATTTTCTTGATGTTGGCAGATTTAAATCTGTGGCAAAGGGGGATTTTCTCATGCTGACCAAAACAGAAGTCACGTGACTAAAATGACTCGCTCTGATTGGACAGTGATGCAAACAGATAGCCAAGTGGTCTTTCTTCAGCAGATTTGTGCAGATTTGTGCAATATTACCTTACTTTTCAGGTCAGGTTCCTCTGAATCCATTTTTTCATGATGGTTAATTATTCTTTATAAGACACATTTTAAGCACAAAAGTGTCAATTTTTTTTGAGTCAAAATATGGGTTTCTGCGCTGAAAAACGTTTTGCGTGCATAAAGTGCGCCCCCAATCTCCATCACAATAGACTTGTATTAATCATAGTTTTACCCTCTGGCCAATTAATAGCGAATAATTACGTTGGCATTAATGTCTCCATTGGCTTTTCTTATACAACCCAAAGAATTTTGAAAGGGATATTCAGAATTTCTAACCTTAATTTTGAATGACATGGTTCAGGTCTAATGAGATGGTTATAAGTTTCAGGGAATTAAAACTCGTAAAGCAGACATTTTACCGATGATTCAGACATCTATAAAAGAATGAGTCAACCAAGAAAATGAAATTTGCGATACCTGCATATTTATTACTCCGTCCACAGACACCAATTTAAGTAATAAGATGAATGTCAAAGTTGTTGCTACATTTAAGATTGGGGTAAAAAGTTCTGGTGAAACAAATGTAGTCATTCCTTGCGAGATCATAATAAGTGTAAGGTGATGCAATGCAATTGTTTCATCTCATTCTTTTCATATTTGGCACCTTTTATGAGGCGGCTGGAAAAATGGAGACAACTACAGGTAAAATGGAACATTATCACAAAATGAGGTAAGTTTGTTTCCTATGAAAACTAAATCATTCTGTTTATCTTTATTTATAGAATAAAGTTATTTAAATATGTTAACCACTTGCTGCCCGGTGGATTTTTCTTGAGCAAGACAACATGCTGGGTCCTTTTCAAGATTTTCTGTTTTCAAAATTCTTCTAAAATTCATCATTTCATTTAATGGCCATTTATACCTATATGAAGGACTCTTTGGGCACTACTCTAAAGCTGACAATTAACCTTCATTGACTTTTGAATATTTCAGCCAGGCCTCAGCCTTGGAAAAAGAGCCCAGGTTGTGCGGTGTTACGTAAGATTCTTTTGTTCCCGAAACCGCCACAGTGCACTGCTGACCTCTTTTCAATAGGGGTCAGATTAGCATGCAGCAGTGCTGTGTGGCTCATCACTGTGGTGGTGGAGAGCTTTTGTCCCTGGTGGTAATCCGCTCCCTTTAAATGCCTCAAACTGTGGTATACTGTTTCAAAACAAGGCTGGATTATCTTCACTATTGAGAGCGAAAAAATATCCCTAATGCCCAGCAGCTCAGTCTTTTGTGCTGAGCACGGTCTTTTGTTATAAGGCCCAACTCTTTTGTCCCAGTTCCGGGCTCCTCAGCTCTGCATATAAAATCTATGTACTCGAAAATGGGTCGCCCGGCAGGGAAAGGTTAAAGGCCATCATAGAAACTATTTCTCGATACTGCAATAATAGAGACTGGAATTCAGGTCAACTTGCCCCCCCTGGCCGACTCGCCCCTTACTGACTCGCCCCCTTGCCAACTCACCCCAGATATCTCGCCACTTGTCTCGCCCCTTTGCCAACTTGCCCCCCAGACGAGTCATCCCCCAGCTGATTCGCCCCTTGCCAACTCGCCCCCTGGCAAACTCGCCTCCTAACCAAGTCGCCCCCTCAGAGGAGAGCCCACTGGTTTGGACCATTAACTACATTTGTAAGTGTCCTTGCAGAAGGCGGGATAATAATTATAAATTATTATGAAAATAATAATGATGGTCGTGACTTGGTTATAATAAAAAAAGACGAACACAGCATAAAGTTGAGAGCAAAGAACACTTTATTTAAATATTTAAAATGAGATTTACACAAAATCAGTTGCACAGAACAATTTAAATACCAGTAGGTCGAGACTCAAGGTAATGTGTGCCAGACAATGAATTCTGATAAGCTTAGCGTGCTTTACAATCAGTCAAGCAACTGAATGCAAGTTTATTGAATAATTCTCAATAATCCCCTTAAGGTGAATTCTTCAATATCCCGCCTTCTGCCAGGACACTTAGGCCTATTATCACTTTGGAAACGTAGTTAATGGTCCAAACCAGTGGACTCTCCTCTGAGGAGGCGAGGCAAGTTTGCCAGGTGGGGGGGGGTAGTAAGGGGACGAGTCAGCTAGGGGGCAATTCGGCCAGGGGGTGAGTTGGCTAGTGGGCTGAATGGTAAGGGGCGAGTTGGCCAGGGGGCGAGTTGACCTACAATCTAGAGACTCCACCTCCACTTGCATACGATGCGCACACTGATTTTTCGAGCTATCGTAGAGGAAACCAAGTTGAACCACAAATAAATTTTTTGAATCAAGTAAAACAGTAATAGTTAAACAACAACAAGGCCAGGATAATTCAGGAAGGTGAGTGAGCATCGATCAGAAAATGTGATAACTGCGATAATACATGTAAATACAATAGGCCTAGAGAGTAACCCATCCTAGTGTACAGGTGTAATCGCAATCATCAGTGATTAACAATGCCATTAATAGAGCATTTTGAAAAACAAAAATTCCAAGTCCCTATTTAAAGATATATCATGCAGATTTAACATTCCAATTTAAGGAAGGGGAAGTTGAAGTAGGAAATTCGAAAAGAGGGATGCTTATGACGAAGGCCTCGCGTCATGCACGTGTAGCCTACGTGTACGTACTGCACGCACGTTGTAACTTGGAGGTAACAGGCATGACATGTGACACCGTCCGATGACAGGCCTTCGACGTGTGGTTCGAGCTAGAAACGCACGAACGGTACTTTCAACAGGCCTACCTGCAACGTATTCCCGCCGTTCCATAACTGAAGACGTTCTTCATGTTGTGAGGATGTTTACTGGCTCCGACAGCAATCGCCTGTTGTACTGGCAACTTGTTCATTTTGACGAGAATTCAGATTCACTTCGCCCTTCTTCCTGAAAACTTTAGTCTGCCGCATAATAAATCGCACTGATGAATATCCACCACCTTGCACGTATGGATATATGTGTGCATACTGTGTACGCACGAGTACACAAGTGGCTGCAGCTGGCGGCTACCAGCTGTGCGTGATAAACAGCGCCATCAAGGGTACAACCACCCAGTGGCGCTATTCCACGAGCCACTTGACGAAAGGCCGACTCGGGCGGCCTGATCTTGATACGGGTTTCTTGTTCTCGCGCTCGAACGGCGGGAACACGACTCAAGAACACTGTTCTCGGAACAGGATCACACAACACCTCCTCGTCAGGGTTTTACAGGAACACACGAAAAAACTCGTGAGATTTTGATTTTTGAACAGTTGCAAAAAGTTAAGAGATGGCTTCCAAAGCCATAGATAATGGGAAGTTTTGTAAAATTAACATTGATTATTTTCCGTAACACAGAAATGAATGTTCCTGTTTATATAGAAAAGAATTCAGCCCATCCAAACATTAACTCGCGAATAACGTAGCCTACATGGACGCCGCCATGTTGCTTGTCACTAACTAACTAACCGGTTGTTTGTTTCCGGCGTTCGAGCGGCCGACCCACGAACAACAAATCGAGCTGTTCGTGAACATACGAGAACAAGCCGCCCGAACTCAGCCAAATTGGCGGAAGCAACTTTAAAAAAGAAGTAGGAAGTTCCAGGCTCTTCGAGAACTTCTGTAAAGCGTGTGCTAAGTCAGTAGGAGAGAGAGAAGTTGTTGAGGTCCACTGCAGGTTTGACCAGGTCTTACCAGGCGCCCTATACTAGCCCGACGCCAGTCTTCATTATATTGAAACTACAGTCCTGTCGGGAGACCGTGGCTTTCCTGTCACTCCATTTCCAATATTCGAAATCCCTACTAAAAAGTCGACTTTTTCGTCCAGTCTGCAGGGCCAATTTTATAGAGCTGCTTAAGCACAAAACTTGCTTAAGCGTGAAAAAACCTTGCTTGACAAATCAGGTTACCAGCCCAAACTCCATGTGATGTATGTTGTTTTGGAATGGTATTCACCTGTCATTTGGTTACCATGACAATCACGTAGATTTTGAGCTGGTAACCTTTGCTTTTTAAGCAAGGTTTTTTCTGCTTAAGCAAATTTTGTGCTTAAGCAGCTCTATGAAATGGCACTTAACTGCTATCCACCGTACATCTGTTGAAATGGTAGGTCATGAAGGAAAAAGAACACTTATTCTTATTCCTCAATGGGTAGACTGTTCAATTTATTCACCGGTAACCCAACCTCGGTAACCAATAAGGTGGGGGGGGGGGCTTGACACAGTCTTTCTTTACTGACGCCATTCAAAAAGAAACTTTATCGATGAAAAAAAGGCGGCGCTATAAACTGATTGTGTCCGCATAAGTTACATGACCTATAATGAGTATTAATGTTTTTAATGTTATTGGGGTGGAGCTAATCATCCTTAATTCAGCCCGTAAGCTGAATTGCGAAGAACACTCAGCTTGTAACATGCTGGTCGAGCCGAATGCATTGCAAGGCCGCCGCCAGCAGACGACTCAAATTGACCACGGAGCCGGAGATCGATGGTACATGTTGGTTCATCACGGAGGGAGGAACACCGGAGAACCCGGAGAAAACCGCGTGGTACAGTAGAGAACCAACGAACAACGCTACTCACATGGCAGGGCTGTTAATCGAACTCAATACCACAGTGGTGAGAGGCGAGTACTTCACGCACAAGCCACCCGGACGCAACAAACACGGCATCCACCCAAAGCAAAGTGTTTCATAAATATCATTCACTAAAAATAAGGCCGATGGTAGGTACCGTACTCAGACTACTGAGGTGTTGGGTAATATACCGTAACTTGGCTTTATTGTTTGTAAACAACACTCAAAACACACGTTGATATGGGGTTGATATCCACGATAGGTCGCGTGATTTAGACTGGGACGCAATCGGTCTACACGAGATGTTACAAGTTCGTCTGCTGTAATGGACAAAACAGATTAAACGGACCTGGCTCTGAACAAAATTTCGGTTCGTGACGAATGCGATCTTGAATGTTTCCGGTTGGGGGAGGGGTCCGTGACTGCGCCAGTCCCGCACGCCCGCATGCGTCGGCCAAGCAAGAGTAGTTTCGTTCGTTCCGCGATTCGACCCTGCGTCACAACATGTATACAAAAACATAATTATTAGATAACCAAACTGCCATGTACGTCTGCGCCCAAGTTATGTTTGCTGAGAACAGATTATTTCTTTGCGAATGAAAACATACTCGCCAAACGGGACCAACTTGAAGATTTCTCCATGAAATAACAAAAAAAACAAACAAACAAACAAACAAACAAACAACAACAACAACAACAAGGCCAGTACTTCTGCTCCACAGGGTTTACATGTATGCACAAAGGAGGTTTCCTTTTGGAACAAAACTCTCCCTGCCGCGTGGTGGCCACCACGCAAATCCTGTAGCTAGACGTAGCTTTTAAGAATTCTTTTCGAAAGTATACATGTAAAAAAATTAAGAGAGACGCTCTAAAATATGAAGTATCTTCATTCACAAAAGACTGTGCTTCCACGAACGATGCAGAAGTTGACTGATTGGCCCTACTTCAGCCTACAGTCCTTCAGTTCGTAAAGCGCCGTTAGGTCCTTTCTCATGCAATAAATTAAATGATGCTCCGGTTGAGTTGTTTGTTTTTGTTTGTTTTATTGGCCCAGCAATTAGCCCAGTGGTTGGCGAACTAATAGTATTTTCAATATTAAAATAATACAGTGTAGCTGGCAGCGGACCACTTTTTCCGCCGGGAGTGCAAAGTTATTTTACGACGCCGGTGCGGAAAGGAAATGTTCCAGAAAGAGTTAGACATCAAAGAACATAATCATGAATACAACAATTACCAATACGCCCAAATCGGGTGAGGGTCTGGGTTTGTAGGTCCTTGCTGTGAGCCAGGAACTCTGTTCATGACGTCACCACCTACCTGCCTGGCTCCAATCTAGTGCCGATGTACGCATACCCAATTGTAACTCATCGTTGTGCTTTTTTTTACAGACACATGAGAGGTTCTTGGGTCTCAGGCTCACTCTGCACCGTTTTCCCTTCAATGAAAAAATATTTGGTGAAGAAAAACGGCATTGAAAAGAGCGGTTTCAAAGGGAATCGAACTCAGGACCGTTAGATCTAAGGCTTGCTAGCTACTAGAATAAGAGTATGTCCGTAATAACCATGCAGTGCGTTTTACATAGTGACGTCACACACGGAGTGCCAGGCTATAAAGCCTCACCCCACGCCTCCATCTCCGGTCTCCATCATGAGGCTACTTTAACTTGAAAGAGTCAGGACACAGTAATCTCCCCCACTCCCCTTCCACCTCCCACCAGCGAAGCATGGCCTCTACATCCTCCCAAAGAAGTCGCAATGGTCACTATGGCAAGTAAGCATCACAATGACCATCATTGGAGTTTGTTTTCTTTCACCTCATTGCAATTCATGACGGTTTCACTGGGTCAGCAATTATTGTTACACGCCTCGCTGGGTACGTTCGCCGACGCCCACTTCACGCCCTCTCTTGCGCGAGCTTAATCTTGTTTATTGATTGTTAAGGAGTCAGACTCCCTGACGTCCTTCACACTTTTTGATATTTATAGAAAAACAAGGTTGAGAAATCTGACTACAGGGTTAAAGCAAGTTTCCTTTCATTTTAATTTGCGTGCATACTTCCTTGTCAATCGAGAGAATCGGCTTCAATTTCCAGGTTCAGCACAGTTTGAGAAATCTAGGATCAAGACACAGTTGCCATGGCTAGCTCAGGTGTAAGTATGCGGTAGCACTATAATTATAATTATCGCCCTTTCTCGCTCAGTTATCACGATAATGATCATTACTCTTCGGATTAGCATGCGGTTTGTGACACGACAGCAAGCCGGGTGACACCGTGTGGGACTGTGTGCATGTGCTCTGCAAGCGTGTTGTGCCAGCGAGCCACAAAAAGCTGGAATCACAGTATAAACTAAACGGAAGCGGAAAACACGGACACGATCTCTTATTAAATTTGAATGGGCCGAGGGAGTGCTGTGCAATTACAGGCACAAATTTTGGGAAAGAATCATTTTCTTGATTTTGTACAAATTAAAAATAGGGGCCTTGGGGCTTACAACATAGCCTACCACTTTGCGCATGTTCAGCAGGTAGTCATAACACCAATCCCTGACTACAAATTAAAAATGTTATAAAGTTTCTAATTTGAATTAAATTTGAACACATAAATGCATGTGTTCAATGCATTGTTGAATCTTGCACAGTTTTATTGTACTCCACCCTGAGTTGATTTGCATCTGAATGAAATCCATTCATCATTGGATAATCACCTCAGCAGTGTGTACAATAATTTTGTGTAAGATGCAAGAGTACTCTTAGTCTCATTAACAAAGAATATTGTAACTTGACGTAGGCTACATTATACATATCCACATACATGTACTTCCTCATTTGGATTTTGAAATTATTTTAAAATCCGTCCTTACATTACTGGTATATTGCAAAATTCTGAGTTGAGTGACTTAACATGCAGCAAAGAAATGTTGGAACCATCTGAAATGTCTTGTTACCAGATCTGGAGTGTTATGGACCACTTTGTGCAAATTTGTATGTTGACTGATTTAGTTTGCTTTCAAATACACATTTTTATGACATGGCCAAGACTGTTAAAAAATCAGGCCGGCATAAAAACCATGTAATCCTACAGACCCCATGCGTATGACATCACACTAGAGGGCATTTCTTTCTTCCTCTAGGATAGGCTCAAGTAAACCTTTTGTGCATTCATTGTAATTAAATGAAAATAACAAGGATAAGCCTCTGACTCCGCCTTAACATAAGGCTTCTGTATACTGGCGGCAAGGAATTGAAGCTGGATAAGCTTCGATTTACATGTGTACTTTCTCTATCTGCACAGAAACAGGAAACAAACATGCCATGTGCCTGGCACTCACTCAAGTAGTTGCTTATACATGTACATGTACCCCAGATATGCAAAAATAACTGTGAATGCAAACAGATATAGCATAATGCCCCACAGGGGACTGTTAGTCTGTTATAAAAAGAATTCTGTCTCTTATTTACACGTAGAGTCAGCGTGACCTGGGAAAGCAGCCATTATCGAACTGGGGCCAATTTTGGAGAGCTGACAAGCGCCCAAAAATTGCTTAGCAAACATATAGACTACCAGTCAAAAGGTCGTGTATATGTGTGTGGTACAGAATGCAGTAAAGGGGGCCAGTAAATTGCTGGCAGTGTGCATCAGCACGGAGGCTACAAACTGAAATGAAGACCAGCGAGTGACTATTCTTTTGAAATAAAAATCAGTGTCCATTGTCAAAATGGACAGGCAAAGTTTGTTCTGGCCATTTTTGACTGCACATGAAAATACCAACTTCTTTGTAAGAACATTAAATGCTCTACTGTTCACTGCACTTTCTCTTTCATTCTGCCCGCATCCCATTCACAAATGTCCACAAGTTTGGCAGAAAATTCAACTGTAGGAGGAACACTGCTTTCAAGGTGACAGGCCCCCCTTTTCAGTTCAGTGAGTTCTGCGTCATACCTATGGGAATACTCTAAGTTTTTCCATGGAGCTTTTTAATTGCTCCATATTTTCTTCTCAGCGCATGAATTGATGAGCAAGATTTTCTGCTAAGCTGCAGCTTCTCAATTTATGCCTACCTTCAGAATGGAGGTAGAAAATGTTTCTACCTTCATGTCTTTGGCAAAAAATTCTGCACTAGCAGTAAACACGTTTCACAGGTTAGCAAGAGAAAATTGGGTTAAATGCACGCATGCACAAATCCCTCAACTGAAGATTCCCTGCTTAATACTCGCTTTAAATTGTGTTACCATTGGAAGGACAGAATGTTGATCTTAAGCCTGGAATTCTATGGTTAGCATAACCATGAATTTGGGCCCAAACCCTCCTCTCTCCACTCTTTCGTGTTTGCATGATGCACAAGTAATACATGTACATGTCTGCTTCTGTACTAATGTACATTACTACTATCTGCAAAGATACATACTTGTACACTAAACTATACATTCTGCATGTCCATAGTGTTCAGTGGTATTATGTAATAATGCTTCTTTCACTTTCATTCTATGGTAAACAATGGCCAGGCTAGAGATGCTGGTCTGGGGGTGCCTTACTTCAACAGCATGCATCAGCCTGCATTGTCAGCCTCAAGATGCCCATTGTGTAGTTGTATTGTGGACTAACGATGTAGTCTTACACATTTTGGAGCCCTCCGGTAATGGTATGAACCATAGTACATGTATATTGGTAGCATAGAGCGTACATCTTGGCAGGAATGAAAGCTTTCTTTTGTGGAGCTTTGAAAACTTTTGTTCAAAGACAACTAGAAAATTGCGAGGAAGACAACATTCTGAAAGAAACAATGCTCTGCACTGATTGGACTAGAAGACATGCCGTACTGGTATTTGAACTTGTCCGTTGAGTCTTCAATTGGTCATACATGTATATAAATACCTCAGACAGTCTCCTTGTTCAACAACATGCAACACGACCGTGTATTAACATTTGTTAGTGCCCGCTGAGAAGTGATAATGCCCGCCGCTCATTCGCTGGTGCCTGGATACGAGACAGTTGTTTTCAATCCCTATTGGTCAAGAGTCTGTGTGCGATGCAGAAAATGCCACGCGTGCGCCAAGTTCATTGAAGGGGATTCTGTTGGACAACTTCAAGAGGAATATACCTTAAAATAGACGGGGATATTTGGGAAAATGAAAGTAAAATTTTAGAACAATATTGTTGGAAATCCATCATATGTTGACTTCTTTTGACTCTCTGAATAAAAAGGTATTATGAATGGGAATAAATGTGTGCTTGGCTGGTCTTGCTCAGGAGAATGAATGCTGATAGCGCCCTCGCCTGCCGCTTGGGCATTAGTCGCGTCCATTCTCCCGAGCCAGTCTTAAATGCACGTTTCAGACTGGCCAAGCACATACATACACTGTACCAGTATTTATTCCCTTATAATTTGTACTTGTCCTTCCTAGCTTACAACATCTGATTCAAACTATTTGAAGACAACTCTCTCCAGCAAAGTACATGGTAGAGGTACATTCTATGTTCAGAGTGAGTGTAGTGGGTCTTACCTGTGTACATGTATGTACATCTACATGGAGCTACTTCCTGTACATGTACTTAGCAAGTCTGAGGAATGTTCTGTGTACATAATTATGGTCAGAACAAAACAAACAACATAAAACGGAACAGAAACAATGTAGCTGTTCTTGAATAAGTACATTCATCAAAGCCGCTTCGAATTCGGAGATGGAAGAGAGAGATCGAATACTGCCGGGCAGTTTATTCCTGACATTGGGGCCTGCCTGAAAAAATGTATAATCACCCCTGGAATTGTGAGTGTTTGGATGAACTCAAGGGCCTAGGTGGATCGTTCGGGGTTAATATGAAAATTGAGAAGCAGAAGCATGCCGGCAGTGAGAAACCAGTGACAACAACTAGTAGTTTAATCCGGTCAGCAACAGGGGAGCCACTGTAACCAAAGCAGTTGTAACATTTAGTCTTCATATTTACATGTACAAATCAATTTCCAGCCACATGTCAATGTCCCTGGGATTGACCTTGCACACATTGACAGCCTCATAGAACCTTGTTCCTGGTTTGCATAGTGGTAGCCTTTGCCAAGTGTTAAACATGTTCTTATCCGGTTGTTTTCATAAAATTGATGAATGCTCACAAGTTCTTATCAAGTGTTCCAGGGCTTGACCTACACTGTATGTGTACAGTCCTTGCTGTGCCCAGTCATCAGTTTGGTGTTACTGATCAGTAGACAAGACACTGTTAATCCAAGATAACTTAATCTGTTTATGGTTTCTAACCTAACTGCTGCATGGATTGTTTATGTTTACTTTCCAAAGCACACAGCTGCTCCAATCACAAGGCTTCATTAGGCCCACCAGGTAACCTCAGTGAGTGCCACACATGTTGGCTTTAGTCATGTACAGTCAAACACACATAAGAAGAGCACTATAGTCTTTTAATAGTAATACAAAGTTACGTTTATAACAAGGATAGTTTAGGTCCCAAGTCTTTGTTTTTCCTTGTTTCAATGACTGATAATCGAAGGTAACCATTATAACAAGGTAATGTGTGAAGTCCCAAGGACCTTGTTATAACAGTGTTTCACTGTATATACATGCAGGTTTTGCAGTGTCACTAGCATGGGGGAGGGACGTTAAGCCAAATGACCATTAGGTTCAGTAAGTTGTTGCATGATACATGAACATGTACATGCATGTCTCAGAGAGTGATGAGCACATGCAAGTGCACTTCCTGATTACTTTTGAATAAACCCAATTTCCATATGGAGGTCAGTAGGTTACAGTTTGCATTTGTAGTACAGGCCATCATGTTTTGAAACACTCAGGTATGTTTCCGGCCTTTTTGGGGTGTCAAAGGACAAGATTCCCAGTGTAGCCAGGCGTCCAACCTTTTTAAAACTTCAATCCCAATAGGAGTGTGCATGAGTGACTATTAAACTTTTGTTGCTCTTATTACATTTACATATGTAAGTTCCAATGCCTAGATTTCCTCAAAGTTACCACACGCCCAGAAACACAGCTAGTCATTCACATGTACAGTGTTACATTTTAGGACAACACACTTTTCTTGTTGGCAGTGAGCCAGTGTGATATTTCAAAATGGCAGCACCATTCAAGAACAGAGCGTGCAAGCTTATGATTCAACATGTGTGAATCAACATATTGCTGTGCTGACAGGAGAGGCTTTGAGCACGCGTTGCTGTTCTTGGTTGACCCTTACATACTCCATTTTGGGCTTTTACTGTTGGAACACCAAATTGGCTCATGAAAGCTCATTTATTTTTACTTCTGAGAACCATTTGAAGTAAAAGATTTCCCCTGAAGGCCAACAACAACAAGCCCTTTGTTGTTTATTTGCATTATACCATCCCCAATTGATCCCACCGCACCCCTGACCAACTGACCAATAGAATTTGTCCGTCATTGATAGACCCACTGACATGCCCACATAGCCAATGACAGACATCATATTTACATGTACCATGTAGGAAGGACACATTAATCCAAAGACCAAATATATTATGCTATTCAGGATGTTGTCACACTGATAACTACGAAAAACTTACCAAGATAAAATACTAAGCACGGGTTGGGGTGCGTGACATTATCACATAAAAGCGGAAGTGATGACACCATTTTTTTCAGTCGAGACAAAGCAGTCGGCCAAAGCACAAGATCCACATATTTTTGCAGCCTCTGTGGAGAATTTTCTTCTTTATTGAATAGCTTAGTATTGGTCTTGAGAGAGTCTTAGTGAATTGGAGATTTATTTTTCATATTTAAAAAAAAAACCACAAATTTTCCAAGCAAAGTCATTTTGCTTTTGACCGAGTGCTTTGGTGGTGGACTGAAAAAGTCAGGATGAAGGTACGTGTTTTAAAAAAAAAGATATACTTCAGACGTTTAGCTGGAGCAAATTGGATTGATCTTGAGCAAATTATACAAGACCCCTGTGAGGATGCCTTCACGAAAAAATGTGAATCACTGCTCTGTGGTTGCTTGGAACTAATTGTCAAACAGTGGCAACATTCTTCAGTTCTCCCCAGCAATTTTCACCTCTTGCCAGCCGATGTCTTTGAATGTGCCTTTTGATAATCTGTGCCTTTGCACATCAAGTTTGAGAGCCAATATTCATTTACAGGAATAGCTTTGGCCTTTGCAGAGTGACATATGCAGTGCCATTGCCCTTTTGTTTGCGAGATGAGCCCGTCATACATGTAAGAACTGAATCCCAATTGCAGTAACTTTGTATTAATTCTAAAGGTCAATTGGAGATTGATGTTAATACATGTACAGTATACTTATTTGTTTCACTTTTAATAATAACCAATAGTTGCGGAGTACTCTGTAATCTTTCTCTGTTCATTTTGTCCAGACTCCAAAATGGGTCAACGTTGGCGGTCGCTGGATAAGGGCAACACCCGCGTCCAACATTTCTGAAAAGACAGTGTCCACAAAATCAACTAAGAATGAGGTTTCTTTTTTTTTTGAAAGTATTTTTGTACTCCTCATTTGATGACTTGTTTTCATTCGATCATATCCATCCTTCATTTTCACGGGGCATACAGATTGCTTTTATAAAAATTGCTCTTTGGCAGCGTGACAAATTTGTTGGCGAGAGATGGTCTCTTCACACCTGATCAGACCAAGTCTGTTATAATCTGCTACCTCTGGGTAAAGTGGGTAGTTCAGATTGGATGCTCATGTGGCATACATGTATGTCTGTGCCACAGCCTCCAAGCCTGATGGATCTCCAGCTGAGCAACAGTCACAGTCAGATGCCATATCCATAGTCCTGGCTTTCTGCCATCATTGATACCCCTTCAAGTTCATGTCCAATTGAAAACCAGCAGTGCAGCCAGCTGTGATAAGCCCATTATGAATAGTGGAGTAGGCTAGTATACCCATTGTGAACTTTAAACATTTATGAATTCCAAGTACTGCTCACATGGCTGGCACACTATGGAAGAATGAGAATGTGTTCCTTCATGGTCATACCAACTGGTACAAAACCTGGAATGTGTTGGGGGAAATGTAATATTTACTCATAAATCCCATGTTAATATGGATCAGCATGTCAAGTGACTCATGCTTAATGTACTGGCTTATTTCGGTACTAAGTACACGTCGGAAATCTGTCATTTATGGAATCTATTGTCAAATATACATGCAGAATTTTGTGCTGCAGAACTGTATTATATATACTCTACATGTACATGTATGCACCATCTGCTGTCTGCCAAAGGGTGCACAGTGTAATTAAGCCAGCTGTGTACACTGTAAATTTGTGTACCCGTGTGTTGTAACAGAGGCCTAAATCATTCTTCCACATTTGAAATGTAATCTACAATCGTTGAAATTCGGATTTTTTTTTCCAAATTACCTCACATTTTTCACACGCATGCACATTTACAATGTTTTCCATCATGTGATCATATACCATACCGGTAGCTGAACATACATGTATGTTCCAACCCCATTGCAGATGTTCATAAGCTAATTATGTATACGATTAATTAAAAGATCAGTGTACCGGAACTTGAACATTACATCACCCACATACAGTGAGATAGTCATTTCAGCTGCACTACAAAGAAAAACCGCCTTGCATGTGACATCACTTCCTACAGATTGCTACTTGCTTCTGCATTTTTTACTTCAATTTTCGTGACGAACATTGGCTGCGCCTTATTTCTAACATATTTGGATCAGCACGCGCGCAAGTTCAGAACACGTTGCACACTTACACACCTGTCAGTTTTGTGTACACGGTCGCAATTTTCCCGCAGTGAGAGAAATCTATAGTGCTTTTAAACACATGCCTTTTTTGACTCATTTGGGTATCAAGAGGAACATGATGGGCACACAACATTTCGTATGCACATGTATCTGTCATAACAAAATTGGATTCTTAATACCCCATTACGTTCCCAAGAACATCTTCACTGATTCAGTCAGCAGATTTTGTCATGTTTTAAATGATGCAAGCATTTCATACATGTACCTCTGCTACATTCATTGGATTGTTACATGTTCTCCCAGGTGCATAAGTAAGCCATTTTAAAGTACACAGCTCTGATGTTTTTTTTTTTAAGTTTACCGTTTTGTGGCCATGCATTTTGTGCATTGCATTTCCATTACAATCTGTTTTACATGTACATGTACATGTATGGTCCATCAAGGAGTCAGTGAATACACTGATATTCCCAGGACACAAAACATGCATTTACTCTCAGAACATGAACATCAAACACATACATACATGGGTAATTCCAGAAATGAGGGTCCAAAAGTGTGACATTTTTGTGTCCCTGTTGCATTTGACCTTTGTTATTTGACATGGAATTATCACCGGAATCGATTTCAAACTATCACTATTTGTTGGCAGGTAATTTGCATTAATTCATCGCTCATGGAAATTAGAAAATCTCTTCTGAACTTACAAAATCGTACGTCAGATGTGACAGGGACATGAGAAACACGGGAGCCCTAATTTCTGGAATTACCCACATACATGTATGTAAGTTGATAGTAGCTTGAAGGGTTGGTTCATACTCAACACGAGTATGGCTTTATTGTCACAGTGTCGCAGTAAATGTCCACACTGCAAGTTGTTAACAGTTGAACACATGTCAACTGTGGTGAAATGTCATTGTACATGTACTGGTACGAGTGTCAAAATTTGAAATTCTCTTAGCGTAATTTGCATTTCCACATGATCCAGAAAGGACTTGATACTGCCAACACTGGGTATTGTAAATTTCGTTCATTCATTCATTCTGGCTTATTATTATAAAATTGAAACACTTAACCAAATATTAAGTCAAGAGTCTAGGGACTTAAATATTTTGGTGTACAATTTGATGGGAATTAGCCATGGATAAGTGTGTGTGTGTGGGGGGGGTCAAGGTCTGGTAAAAGTTATTTGACAAGAAGGTAGGAGTCACTTTTTCTAAAATCATGTTGGTTTTCAAATTTAACCTGCAGAGCCTAAGAGTTGAGTTCAGGTCTGATTCCCCAAACAAGATTCCTCGAGTCAGATTCACCATACAACTTTCGAGTCATTTACACTGATTTTCGTTTTTTAAGAATTCGAGTGCTGTCTCTTTACTGAAAGATCCCTTCTGGTCTCACAGGTTGATGAGATTTTGCAGAAATTAGCTCTGTCCAATGCACATTTGGAGGAGATCACCAGCCTCATGCGGCAGAACATGGACAGGGGGCTGGATAGTGCTACCCACCAGTCAGCTATCGTCAAGATGTTCCCTAGCTTTGTACGATCTCTACCAGATGGATCAGGTACTATCAGTCATGTCACCCATAACATTAATCTTCCTGTGCCACTCAATGAAATTATCTGTACATGTGAGTCGCTCTGTGAAAATGAGTCACATGTCGCCAGAGCCACTTTTGAGTCAAAGGCCTTTGAAAGAATTTTGCACAGTGTTCAAAGCAATAGGAATCCTCAACATTTTAAAATCTACTCAGTGTCCATTTTATTGTACCAAACTGAGTGACACATCAAAAGAAAGAGCTCAGATTCCTCAATCTAATATAAAGTAAAACTCAAAAGTAGCTACAGAGACTTGTGACTCATTTTTACAGAGCGGGGCACGTGCATGTATTTTGAATAATAATTACTCTGGTATTTTAGAATGCATGCAGTGTATCAATTGTAATCTTCACAGAGTGTACTTGACTTCCATCGAGACAACTTGTACCTGACCATGTACATCTTATTAGAGTGTGATAACAAACTTATCTTGCAAGCAAAATTGACTTGCCGTCAAGATGTTAAAGGGGTCTATGTGCGCAGACGTGCCACCTTTGAATTTACAGTAAATTTTGCTGCTGTGAATTTTGCTTTTAGCATAAAAATAGGGCAATACGCCTACATGAAGTTAGAATAGTGCATTATGCAGGGTTTGATATGGACAGTGCAATACAGTTGTATACTGCACCATTTGTTTCCATGAATCAACCAGTCAGAACTGAGAATTCAAGTTTGTGGGAAGATAAAGTATATACATGAACCATCTGCTTTTAGTTTAACATGTATACTGAAATCCACATCTTTTCAGAGAAAGGTGATTTCTTTGCACTGGACCTTGGAGGCAGTAATTTCAGAGTTCTTCGAGTCCAGCTACTGGAAGGTGATGTCCAAATGACGAGCAAGGTTTACAAGATTGCTGAGGAGACTATGACAGGAACAGGGGATCAGGTAATGCCATTTTTTTCCCACCAATCTTATTCAGCTTTATTATGCATGACTACATAAAAATGATTAAGTGTAGCCTAATTTAGCCAACAGGTCTTGTGGACTGTGGCCTCTAAAGTACCCTTTTATGCCTGTAGCTATCTTTTTCATCTATCTTTAGTGACTGCATTCTCTGTGTCCTATAATGCAGTTTGTTTTAGCCCACACTGATAATGATCTCGGTGTTGGACTTTGTACAATATAAGGTAACCTTGTCCGTCCATTCATAGTAGGTTTAACCCTGAGGATGAGTACAGGCATTGGACTTGGACGAGATAAGGCAGATAGCGAGGCAGTTGCAGTTTGCCTTCGTGCGATTCTGTCTGAATCGCACGAATTTTTACCCATAATGCAAAGGTCATGCATTGGTAGTTCCATTAAAATGCCACTTGTAGTAAGTCCCCTTTCGGAGTTTGTGTGTACAAACCTTGCATACCTAGTGTGGACCCTTGATGTGATGATGTCCACATGATACAGGTTGTGCGAACATTGTGTGGACTATAAAGCCAGGTCCACATGAGGCTACCTCCTTTCTGGAAAATAGGTTTAGAGGCATTTGGGGAGCAGGTTTATCTGTCGCCAAATGAAGAGAAACAAACAAAGAAATGTTCATAAGACAATCTAGCTCAAAATAGTGTTTGCTATTCAAGAAAAAATAAATTTTCATCGACATTTCTCAATTACACAAAAATAAAGGAAAGACCTCCCTTGGTACATGTAGGTAACGCCAACATGAGCATGTGTGTTGCTTATTAGGCTTTGGACAAATGTATTTATAACTTAATTTCCTGTGATATATCTAATTAGTTTCCAGAAAGATAAATTTATAAAAAATTTGGTTTGATTCTCACAGATCTCTGATGTAATATATGTACACCATTCAACTGAGTAAAATTAATTAATTACAATACGTTGGTTTTCCACTGTAGTTGTTTGACTACATTGCCGACTGCCTGTCTGAATTCAAGAAGGAGGAGGGGCTCGGTGATGTAGATCTTCCCCTCGGGTTTACCTTCTCCTTCCCCTGCAAACAGAATGGACTAGCTTCAGGTGAGGTCATAGTTCGCGTTTGATGTGTATCAATGTATGGCCCTGCAGGAGAACTCAGCACACGCCCTTCAACAGGCCACTTACTTTACATGCAAATATCCAGACGTTTTGGAGGGTGTCGCGCAACAAAGTTGGAGAGTGGTCTCCTTGTATGCCTTTGTTGGTACTGTGGCACTGTGAAAACTTGTAAATAACACTGTGAGCACCCAGTCTTTTTTTTCCAAATTGCTGGTATGGTCCTTGATGTGGGATGTGCGCCAAATATCTACCCAGTTACCTTTTGACATCTCTTTTGGGAGTCAGTGAAGTTCTGAAAAGTTCTAGGGAACTTTATGTTTTGAGCGGTACGCTCGGCCCATCTTCAGAAGGCAATTGAGGGGGCAGTTAATTCCCCGATTTTGGGCAGGGCATACTGCTGAAAACTGTGAGTTCGCTAGTTCTTCTCTGAGCATCACTGACTCGAAACAGATGTTTTTTATCCTCAAGGTGCAGCTCGAAAACCCACTTGTATTGCTTCCTCCAACATGCAGACCTTCAAATATTATCTTGGCTCGTTCATGATCTTTTACCACATGGCATGATGTGGGCTATATGACTTCTGCCCTGACTGCCCCGCCTTGCAGGAACAAACACATGGCACAATTGCAAGACTGCTTGGTTTTCCACCCGGTAGACCGCTGATACTGTGTTTCGAAGGTCAGAGGTTTGACTCCTAACATTGGACCTTTTCTTTAGCATTGCGCTCGGCATGCTGAGCTACGGCCAAGCTGATTAGCAGCCTGTGAGGAGTGATAATCGTATCCCTCTGAGTTGTGTCTCTGGTGCCTAGCAGATAGTATAATTACAAAACAGTTTTCCTCTCTCGTTGTTTCCCTTCTGGCAGCTGAACTGGTGCAATGGACCAAAGGCTTCTCAGCCTCAGGAGTGGTAGGGAAAGACGTGGTGCAATTACTCAAAGAGGCCTGTGTAAGAAAGGTGAGACACTTGCTTTTGTGTTCCTCAACTCAGATCCTCCCACATCCACCAAAATCCACTCGGGGATCCTCAGAAAACTTTGAAGGATTTAGGAGGCTGATAGAGCTCAGTCACTTCATGTAGAGCATGAATGCCTTCAGAACTTCAAGTACAATATTAGTTAGTTCATGCCATGCATGGTGGAGTTATTTTTGGTGGATTCAAGAAAGATTCAAGTGAGTATGCTCTGGAAGTGAGGGTTAATCAGTCTCAAATGTGGCATAAATAGCGACCAACAAATAATGCAGTATCAAATGCTGGCAAATCGAGGAAGCAAGCAGGTGATAAGGTTATTGAATGAATCCCTATCAAAACCATGTAAAACACTGGCTGAATCTACCGTATTTTGTCTTACCCTATGAAGAGTTCAAACTTCAGTGTGACTGATTCAAAATTTTACTGTTTGCGGGCTGGTGCCAAGTGTATAAAGCATTACACAAAAGGGAACATGTCAGTTTCCCTTACCACAGTGTTTCTTTTGTCTTATCTTTGTTCTGTAGAATGTAAACCTTCATATCGTAGCATTAGTCAATGACACTGTGGGAACACTGATGTCGTGTGCCTACTCCCGTAGCGACGCCTACATTGGACTCATCCTTGGTGAGTACGTGTGCTAACGTTAAAACAGCAGTAAATCTGTCTGTGTGAGAACTTGTATTGATCGTTGGTGAACCAACAGGTGAACAGTGGCCATTGTAGACTGCGAGTACCCCCTTATCAGTAAAGAAAGAAAAGGACCAACAGGCCTAGGGCAGGAGCTTCGTTCTTAAAAGGGCAAGGCAATTTCTCATTTGCAAAGGGCACTTGTATTAGAAAATCAACTAGTCTATGGGGGCATTTCAATGGGCATTGAGGCAAAGACCAGGGGCACCAAGGCAATTGCCTCCGATGCCTCCGTGAAGTTTCTGTCCCGGACCAAGACGTGTCCCTTTAAAGGAACTCCTGTTGTGAGCATGATTCACTTCGGAAGCACGGGCATCGCAAGGGGGGCAGGGAGAGGTAACTCCCTCCCCCTTGCCAAAGAATGGGAAAATAGAAAATTTAAAAAAAAAGAGAAATAAAAAGGGAAAAAGAAAAAAATGAACTGAGTTTCTGTGAAAATGTTGTGGAATTTACCCTCAACTATTGATGGTTTGTCAGTTGCTCTCTTTAGTCTTGTGGCTCCCCCCTCCCCAGAAAGACCTACACTCCCTCCCTGGGGATGACAATGCCAGATAGTCCCTCCTCCCCCACCTGAATCACAGAAGCTTGGTTTGAGCTGTTCAAAAATGTGTAAAATGGGCCAGCTGCTATGCACAACTGCTTCCGATGTAACTAGGAGTTTGGTCCTGAGTGTAAAGTGATGTTTCTTGGCTGGATTGGTCTGCGCAATGTATCGTGTGCCTTAGACGGTGAGGTGTCCATGACAAACAACCTGCACTACTGAGTGAAATACAAGTGCCCTTGACCCACAGTAATGCTCTTGGGTGGCACAGCACCTAAATTGATGTAAGATTTGCAAATCAAAAGTGGGGAAACATAGCGGAGTGTACTGCCCTGGTGTTTAATCACCTTTGTTTTTCATGTGTCCTGTTGGTATCTCACCCTTTGCGGGTGATCGTCCCTGTTATATCACTTCTGAAATATTCATTTGCTTGTAAGATGACCTTTTGCCCTTTAATTCTTACACTGTTTATTGCCGAGCTGTAAGGCAGCCAAGCAAATTGCAACATGTTCCATATAAATAAAAGATTCATTAACGTGTTAACTAGTTACGCATTTTCTTTGAGTGTGCTAATATTGCTAGAACATTATTACCATTCACTGTAAAATGTTCACAGCAGTTGTGGGCATTCTCAATTGGATTTTGAGTGCACCTGTGTCACCTCATCTGAATTTTATGTGCGCAGGGACGGGAACTAACGCCTGTTACCTGGAAAAGCTGAGCAACGTGGGCACGTGGACCGGGGACAGCGGGGAGCCGACTAACGTCATCATCAACATGGAGTGGGGAGCGTTTGGCAGCGACGGGGCACTGGACAATTTCCGGACCGAGTTTGACAAACAGGTGGATGAAGTGACCCCCAATAAAGGCAAACAGCTGTGAGTTATACATGTATCTGTCTTTCATGGGGCCCCTTGAAATGATACTTGTCAAGTTGTTGCTGTTTGGATCGCACGTAGGCCCACAATTTAATGTCAGTTATGTAGATGAGAAAGTAATGTCCCACACATTTCTTTGTCCACTGCTCTATATTTGAAAACCTGAGAGAGTTTGCACAGTTGTTCTTCACGGATTATTAAAAACCATCTTGAGAAATCAAATATTGAACAATTGCTACAAAGAACTGAAGTGAATATGTCACGATCACAATATACAAGGAATGAGCACGAGAACCAGCGCGGGAACCAACACGCATACTCCGTTCGTTTGTACTACACTTTCTGGTTCAACTGATGTCACACTTTGGTACTCTGTAACACTGCAGAGGACCGCTTAACCCTTCCCAAGAGTCCATTAGCCAATAGAAATAGAATCTTCAGAGTATAGATCAGTTGAAATGGAAAACAAATCTAATATTTCAAACAGCTGCAATTGAAATGATGCTTATCAGAACAACCATATTTGAAAATATTGATCGCGATCTCAGCTTAGGAGCCTGTGATGTGGAATAAGAAATAGCTCATGTTTTGTAGAATGAGCCTGACATTGTGGCTTTTTGTTTCAATGCTCCTTCCCTAGTTACGAGAAGATGATTTCCGGCATGTACCTGGGCGAGATAGTCAGGCTGATTCTGGTGAAGCTGACGACTGATGGGCACCTGTTTGGTGGGAAAGTCTCGCCCGATCTCAACACTCCGTGGAAATTTGAAACCCGTTTCCTGACAGACATAGAAAGGTAAAATGGTAAAAAAATACTTGAGTCCCACTGCCCACCCTTACACATGTATCGATTTCCAAGAGGTCCTTATCTGATACAAAAGACCAAGTTGAGGATGACCAAATAGCCACTGAAAGGTACTGCAGAAGGACCAAATTACTGAGTTATAAGGAGACTCACTAAACAAGCTGAAGATTAGGGATGTAAGCTCTTCTAAGTGATACAACAAAAAAAAGAGATCAGTCTCTATTTCCAAAGTAAGAGAGGTCTGAGAGATTCATTTTATGGGGTTTGGTTACATGTTGGTTTATGCCACCAGTCTTCATGCCGCTGTGTTCATGGACTTGAAATCTTCCTCCCCTCCCCGTGCAGTGACACATCCAGTGACAACGGAGAGTGCAGGACCATCCTGACCAGCCTGGGCGTGACCCCCTCTGTCTCTGACCTGGCCACTGTCCGCCGCATCTGCGAGGCCGTCTCCACCCGCGCAGCCCGGCTGGCCGTGGCCGGCCTGAGCGCAGTCATCCGGAAGATGGGGGCTGGGGAGCTGACTATCGCAGTGGACGGCTCACTCTACAAGAAGCACCCGACCTTCAAGAGCAACATGGAGGCCACCCTGCAGGAGCTGGTGCCAGGCGTCACCATCAAGTTGATGCTGTCGGAAGACGGGAGCGGGAAGGGCGCGGCCCTTGTGGCTGCAGTGGCGGCAAGGATCAGCTCTTAGACGAACGAAACTTGCAGGCCAAATCTTTTCTTCGTTTCCTCTGATTTACAATTCCAGTCAAATTTGCCATTACAATATATAATTCATGGGCCAAACGTGAAAGAGCCTTCAGCCCAAATCGCTTTACATTAGAATCTACTGATTCCTCCACGATTGCCACTTCCAAGCCAACTGGAACTTGAATATTCAAGCACTGTCGGTTGGTAATTCCTCCTCCAAAGGCTGCGACTGTCTTCGGGAAAGACCACTGAGATATTCATTGACATTTCTTGCTTGTAGTTAAACTGCCAAGATTATCACCTTGTAATCTAGGGGTCTTTTCGGACCTTAGGCCAAAAAAAAGTCTCTGGTTTCCGGTCAGGAGCTGGCTCCAAAAGTGGTGTGGCTACGCTCGTAACGCCAGCCTCTACCAACACTAAAATAGATTGACCCCTGCACTTTTTTTCTGTTTAAAAGCATTTTCAGCTTGTACATGCACACAGGGCATAAGACCAGCTTGTTTGTCAGGTTCCCAGATGTAAATGTGTAATACAGAAATGACGTCATCTGAAAAAGAGTGCCCGACTAAATGTGTGGGGGACTAGAGGGACTCCTTTGCTGTACATATTACTCAACTGTACGGCATAAAAAACACGTTAAAATTATGCAGCAGGTCTATGGCAACGTGTGCACTGACCAGAAACCAGATACTTTTTTTGGCCTTAGTAACTTCATGGCTAACTCTGTCAACCTCTGCAGGCATGGTTGTTTGGAAGTTGCCTTAATCTATCAATATCCACCACTTTGGTTGAACAATGCTTTATCTATAATTGTAACCAAATAGTCAGGCTCCATCCCATTGCAGAGTGTTCAGTAAAATAAAGTGGATACGGGGAACATTCTAAAAAATGGCCATCTTTTGAAAAAGAAGAAGAAATAATCAGGATTATCAAGCCACGTGTTGCGATGGCTGTAGGGTTTTGAATATGTGCAAATACAATGTATTGCAAAACCCAGCTTGTTTGCTCAGGTTGGTTTAGGTTAAAGCTCATTTGAAAACCCCTGTTTTCCAAACAACTATGGTTTTTGCACCCGTTTAGTTCATGTTGGTTTGTCATAACTGTCTGACCTGTGGCCACACCTCTCAATGTGATGAATCCATGGAGGACAGTGTATCCAATTATACTGAAATCAGTTTAGAATTGATTTGATGTTTCAATACAGAGATGAAATTTGTCAAATTCGGCTGTTTACCCATAATTCCACAGCATGTGGTCTGTGAATGAGTACAATCAGTGAAAAAATCAGTTGAATCAGCAATATCACGTTTCCATTGTTTGAAATGCTGACACTGAAATACTTATTCATGAAATAGCAACATTATCATCATTTGCCCTGTGAGGAGAAAACTACCTTTGCCTGTCCTTTTAGAAAAAGATCCTTCCAATATTTTAGACAACAGTAGATGTTTTATTTTAAACTTATCTTAAGCCTAACCTAGTCACTGTGTGAGCTTAGCTTCATACTTTTAACCTATCATTTCTTCCATTGTGAATTTTTTTATATTTTATCTTTAAAAAGGGATAAGTGATTTTATATTGTATGGAAATTGGCTTTTAAAGTGGGTAACTGTAAAATATTTTTGTTGCAAAATAGCATTTATCATTTTACTCAAGTTGGTCCTTTGAAGAAACACTGATTTTTCATTTGGTTGACCAAGTAAGACTTTATGTTGTTTTTTCATGTAGAGTTGCATACATGTATGAATCAGAACCCCAGGACTCACGGTATGTATGGTGTATTTTATTTTGAGTTGGTCTTCGAGAATTTCTGGGAACTTGAACAGTTGTCCCTTGAACAGTTTATACAAACCACTGAGGGCATGCACTTGTCTGATAGTTTATGCAAAGCTCTCGGTGACAAGTTGGTAAAGGCACATGTTGTTCCTTCAAAGTTGTTCCAGTGATGGACAAATATGTCACAAAGTCTTGATGTGTGGTTTTTGTCGGAACACTTTGGAGGTTCAGTACTGATAACAAATTAAAGAGTATCATTTAGCCAGGTGCTATAGAGTTGTGAAGGAGAATGGCAGATCCAGAAGCAATTCAGAAGCCCCCCACAATTTTTGTGTTACCTTGTATGGCCTTTTGAGGATGTTGCTTCTGTTTATGGGGGGGGTTGCTTTTTTCCCCACCTCCACCCCCAATCTTCAGTTGTTAGGGTTCAATAATGTGGTATTGGTGGTATGGTACTCTGACTTCCTCTGATGCAGGGGTGCGTTCAGTATGTGAGTTCCCCAGAGTGATGGTGCCTCTTCCTGTCTAGTGACGGAGTGCCTGCTTAAACTGTTACAGGCCAGTGAATATGAGCATAATCCACAGTAATTATAAAAGCTCTACTGGGAAAAGCCCATTTGGTCTAATATTTTCAATTCCACAACCACTAAAGCAGGTGGTGTTGGGGGGGGTTATGATCGATTGTTATCATATTTTGAGTCTCACTTCTGGTTCCAATAGTACTTTATACTAACCATTTGTGTTACTAATTTTTGTTGATAATTATGTCTCCTGTACAAAATTATCAAGGCAGAAATATTGTAATAATACGTCTTTTAAGATTTGTGAAATTTGTGCAAACTATCACTGACAGTGGTATATTTTTTTATACCGAATTAGATGTGCAAAATAGATTATTTCAATAGAATTCTGTTTTTGATGTGCAGTGCAGTAAGCTTTTGATTAAGAGACAAAGAAGATTTGTTGTACTAAAGTACAATGCATTTTGGCATGATGGCTTTTTATCTGAACATGAAGTAAATGTACTCTACAAACGGGTGGACTTTGGGTTTGACACAATTTGTATGCACATGTTTACAAAGCCAGGGGTATGATTTGTGTAACAATTACCTGGGATATCCTGGGTACATGATCTGAAGGGGTTAACTATCTGACTTTGATAGCCAATACATCCGGGGTACAGGGTCTTATGGAGGTTATTTCCGGTGCAACATCCGAACAGCCTCAGAATTTTGGGGTACAGATCTGAGGGTGTGTAACAACTTTGAATAGCCTGGGTATAGTCAAATTTGATCAGACGGCATTCCGCGGGGCCATTTACTCTCACGCAGCTGTCTCAACCTGAGCACGTGCGCGCACTTCGGCAATTGACTACTGCCTATTGGTCAACTTTGAATTTCATGCGCGCACTGCTTGCGTGCAAGCAGGATAGCCCTTAATGGCTTCTAATTTTGGTTGTCGGATTTGTCTATAGGATCTCAGGGAAACTGGGATGGCCCAAAGCGCAAGATCCGGGTAACAACTTGGGACATCCCAGGTACAAGCTCTGCAGTTACAATAGTCGGGGATTTCCTGGGGACAGGGTTATTATTTTGAATTTCAAAGCCCAAACACCAAAGTGTAGTGAACTTGTTTAAAGATTTCCCCGAGATGATGCATTCACATTCCCACTTCGGTACAGATTTCTTGCAGAAAATGAAAACGTCAGTTTTATGTTCAGGAAAACATTTGAAGTATTTTCTGATGATTTCAAATACATTAAACAATTATTGAATCGAAAAAGAATCCATCTTTGTGTGGTGTTTTATAGCTTGTTTTCTGACCTATTTAGTAGAACAGTCAAGTCTTGATTCTTTTTTTCAAGCCAAAGAAGCCAGACTTTTGCAGAGATTGCTCAACCGGCAGACGAAAATGCATGCCCAAGGAATTAGAATTTGGGGCATTAAGTTTTGTAAGTTAATATAAGTCCTACCACACTCGGGCAAAGGAAAATGATTTTGCAAAATATTGTTCATAGCCTTGGCAGCTGCACTAAGCTGGTTCTTTAATTTCATTCATGTGTAGCCCGGGAGCATATTAAAGTTTATAAAAATGCTTTCCACAAGTTTTTTTAATGGGATCAAAAGTTTTTGATCCCATTTGATAACAAAACGCTCACGATCGCGCTACGGGTTGTAGGCCTACTGTTGCACTTCTGATTGTGGGTCTTACCTGTGTATTATTATAGAGGGCGCTATCGCAAATCTCTTGTTAGATTTTTTTTCTAACCGGAAGTTACGTACGTTTGCGATGAACAAAAGAAGGAAACAGGCAACATGGACGCTTGTCTGAGCGTGCAAAAAGAAGTCGATAAAGTTCTTGGGAAATTTGAGGGAATCAAAACTCACTCCGCCCGTACATTGGAGGAGCTGATTGACAGTTTGAATAACATCAAGCATGAATTGTCAGCTGGTGAGATTCATTGAAAAAAAACACAACATTTTCTCGTTGCTCGAATGTCAAAGTATGGTCAAAGTGATGGTGTAACATAAAAAAGGTCGTTGCAACTAATTCATGATAACTGGTTATTGCAGGGTAACTTACTTGACTTAGGCCAAGTCTGCGCAAAAGTGAAAAAAAGAAATGGAGCCTGAATCGAATATTCTGGTTCCTTCTTTTTCTCTATGGCTTTTTGGTACTTCAGCAATGTTATGTACAGTGCTGACCTCCTAGTCAAGATCCCTAGAGGATGTTTCAGGAGGAAACTATTACCAAGTACCAAGAGCTGACTGCTGTATGTTGTAGGCCTAAGTAGCAGTAGCCTATTGGACGTAGTACTGTCATGACTGTCGTACTCAGTAATAGTAATAGTACAGTTGGTACCAGTCTTCTCCCCTCATATGACATACTTGTACCGTCAACATGTGCTGTCACCATGCCACCAATGCATCTAAAAAATATTCTCAATTGACAAATACTATTAAATATGGTACTAAATTAGAAAAGATTTTACTTAAATACTAAATACCCTCCTTTTTTAATACCCATTCCAGTTTGAAGAATAGTTTGTAAGATTTGAAAATATTAAGAATAATTAAAAATAGGAATATGTTTTTCATGTTTTTGGAGTGCCTTGGTCGAATGTAGGTGGTACAGTGTAGGGTAAGTGGTTGGGGGTGGGGAATTTTTTAAAAAAAGGAAGTGGGACTTTTGGAATAAAAAAATCAATGTCCCCACTTCCACTTCCATTCAGGTCTTCTGTCTTCTCTCCCCTTCATCGTACCACTGTCTGTCCCTCCTTCCTCCACTGCTAGACTGCCTCACCATGTTTCCATTCCCTAGGTCATGTACATGTAGGTTGGGTTAATTGCCTTGACATCTGCACCAGTGTCTAGACCACAAGGCCATAGCAAGTTGTTACTGATTGTACAATATGAGTAAAACTACATTGATGCTAATAAAAAGATATTTGCATGGTAGGAGTAAACTTTTTGAAATATTCTCGGTCAGATCTGGAAGGAAATTGTGAGTGAAACACGGGACTTAACTTGGCAATTCATATGTTGATATAATCATATTGCAGAAGCCGAAGACATTGCACTGTAATTGTATACTTCTCTTGCTTAGCTAGGTAAATGTACAATGTTGGGAACTTAGATTCATGAGAACTGAATGCGAACCAGAGTGCACTGCTGCCGCTGCCAGCTCTACATGTTGACGCTAAACTATGAGTGCTCTGCGAGTAACGAATGTGCCAAAAATGATTACACTTACGAAAATGGAAGAACTAATGAAGCTTAGCTTCAAACTGATCTGAAGTTTCTTTTTACATGTGCGTTACAGTGCCATTAACCCTAACCCCCTGGGCCCTTTTACTAGGAACCATCCTGAATCCTCCAAAATTCTCTGATTTTCAACATGAAAAAATTACATTCAGCCCAAATCCTCAAAAATTTCTTGAAAACGTCATTTTGAGGTGTGCCTAACTGCCTGAATCCTTCAAAATCCTCCGGCAATTCCTGTCATTGTGTTGAGGCAGTGTGAATGGTACTCTTGAGCTGTGCAGTTGATTCAAAAGAAATATCAGGCTGAGTTTGTGCTTGACTAAGCACAAACAACATAAGGTCTAATCCATTACCTTCACATATGGCATCCTTCGAAGTCAGCCTGCACTTTTGTCGTACATCGTGAATCCTCCGAATTCTTCCACTTTGCAGAAAAGGATTTTGGAGGATTTGCGAGGGTTAGGGTTACTTCTGTCTCTGTTCAAATTGAACTCAAACTTGTAATTCTACTCATCTGCTAAACAAGATAGGTTCACCGAAAATGTCCAACGGGAGCACTGCTTTCAGGAGCAAAATGACTCACCATGATTCAGTGTCGATACTCTAATTGTTAACAACAGTTTCAGAAAAATTTGGCCCTTATTTTTCTGTTACAGCTGATCACCACACAGAGTTGAACCGAGTGCATCAACTGATTCTTGGCTCGGCCCAGAACAGAACCAAAGACATCCTGACCCGGGTGAGCAATGAGCATAAGGACATCCACAGCAGCGTCTCCAAGATTGGCAAGGTGATAGACAAGGTGGGTCCTGTCCCCTGGGTCACCCCCAAGTTGGCGTGAGACACATCAGCTGGCTCAACTCCAAGACAGGGGTCAAACAGTCACTGGAGTACTAGCTAGAGTCAGCTTTTGGTGTTTTATGGTCTTTCTCAAAGTCTTGGGGGGAGCTTTTATTCCCCCCCTTGATATCTTGGCTGTCGTATGACCAATCTTTTTGAAACTTAGCCAGCATGTAAAGACCTCCGTTATGTGTGCGTCAGTGAAGTTGCAGTTCAGTTCATCAAGGGCTTTGCTTGTTATAGTTACGCTCAAACACGTCAGCCCTTGCACTGAGCATATATGTAAATTATGGGAATAGTTAACATTTTTGGTATACTGTCTTGGAAAAATGGAAATTTCGTCAGACTGGTACGGCCGATTTTTGTTAAGTTGGTGTCAAATGACTGCAGATACCAACAAAACAACTATGGAAGGCCCAGCACTGCAACGATATCAGAGAAAATGTAACTCAATCGTCAGGTGAAACCTATTTGTGAGAAAACTCTTATTCCTTTCTCTGTTTTCTGTCCAGAATTTCACCAGTGAGCTGATCCAGTTAAACTCCGAGCAGACGTTTGAGTCGCCGGACAGGATGCGACTGCTGAACGAAGTCATCTGTGAGCACTTTTTACGGCAGGGCATGCTGGACATAGCAGAGAATCTGACTGAGGTGGGTTGCGGATTGGCTGCTTGGCATTAGCTCGTTCATTCAAGCACTGGCAACATTGCACTGACCCCGGGAGTATTATAAAACTGGCCTTAGATATTGACATTGTAATGACACTCAAGTACAGGATAGTCTGTTTTCCCAGTGTGTATTTTTGTGACCTGTGCCATTAGTGGTGTTTGTAATTACACTGCAGAGAAATCTAGCTTCGCCCTTTTTTTTTTTGCAGATTTTTTTCCAGATTGAGTTTTGAACTTCAATCGTTTGAGCACCTGGTTTGGTAAACCTAACTGACAAAATGACGCCAGTATTCTGTAGAATTTTTCATCACTCCTCCTGTTTGTCACTACTTGATACTTTGTGTATATGTAGTTCCAAATAGCAGCCCTTACAGCTTGCACAGGTTTTCCAAATACACGGTGGTCATATCCCAACTTATCAACCCGTTAATTTCAACTGTTCCAGCGAGTTACTGAGTGTGTTACACTCGGTGCATAGACTCAGACTCAAACTCATATGCTTGTGTAAACTTTACTCCCTCTCCAACTCATTTTCACTTCTGTATTAACAAGTGCTTGTGCGTGCGCTGATATAGATGGAGTTGTATATGAGTTCATCATAAGTCTTACCAACTCCCTGCAAGTCCATCACTAGTCCTCCACAAGTGCTTCAGTCTTAAGTCAAGCGATTAAACTGTTCCAATGAACTGTGACAAAATCCGGACTTTGTTTTTCTTTGTACTGCCACAGTTGTGACCAGGCTGGTGGAAGGGGCTTGTGATGGAGTCGTCTGCAAGTCCCCGATATGCAGGCTTAAACAATCGTGTGGAGTAATCATTCAGTCATTCATTTTGTTCATGTATTGTCAAACCATTGCGTATTGAGTTTCCTTCTGTTTTGTCTGTTTAACTACTCAGGAGGCTGGACTAGACATGTTAGACTCAGCCAAGGAACCCTTCATCGAGATCAACCAGATCCTGGAGGCTCTGAAGCGAAAGGATCTTGGGCCAGCAATGGCGTGAGTATGCATTCACGTCCAAACAGTGGTACTGATACAAGGATATTGACCCTAACTGCCAGGTCATTTCTGGAAGGAGCCCCTCTGAATCTCCACAATCCTCCACTGTGAAGCAAACTGGTATCACGTTCTTGCTACTTGAAATTTGTAAGATGCATGGCTCAGCTCAACCTTTCAATCCCACCAAAGTCTGTCAAAATCTGACTGTGTACATCAAGCATGTTACAGCATAAGGGCTTAGGTACTGCTCTGGTGAGATCCATGATTGGCAAAATACACCCTTTGGTGCAGGAATGGACTCTTTGCAAAGATTGTCTCTTTGCAACAACTAGTCAGTATTGTACCTGCCCTTGTCACTGTTCTTCCCCAAACCAAGAGTGTTTGTCACGGAAAATAGTAGAAAACGTGAAATTGGCAGTCTAGTGCCAGTTGATCTTTACTGTGCGTCTGTGGTGAATGATTGTCAAGCCACATATGGATTTGGAGGAGCTTATACATTCTCCAATTTTTCTCTTCATTATTGAGATACTCACATCAGTCTCCTTCAAGGTTGGGTTTGGTTGCTTTGATGAGCTCTTGTAAAATTACTGTTTGACAGTTGAGCTAATTTCATCACTCTGGTAAGGTAAGAGTCAACAGGCAAACTTTAGCCAGATTACAGTTTTCTAAGTTCAGAATAATTTTTTCTTCTTGGATTTTGGTCATGCTCAGTTGGGCCGCTAGACACAGGGAGCAGCTCCAAGCCCAGAACAGCTCGTTAGAGTTCAAGCTCCACCGGTTACGCTTCATCGAGCTCATCAGCCATGGCAGCGCCAAGCAACAGGAGGCGCTGGCCTTTGCCAAGAGCTTCTCCCGGTTCGCTCAGGGGCATGCTAAAGGTTGGTATGGCGCAGAGAACATGCCGAGACTCTGTCAAATTCAGGTCTTGATGAATCCACTCGTGACATGCTCATCAAGGGTAACAATTTGAAAAATCAACCCCCTGGAAGGACCAGGCATGCAACTTTTCCTCGGATCAACTGATTTCCTCATTTTTCACTTCACACTCCTGCCATTAAAACTTGAAAAACCCTGTACAAAGTCTTGTAAAGACAGAGATTTCCTTGTTTTTTTTTGTCAAAGTTCAAGTTGCATGCCTGAAGGACTTTGCTACTGTCACACATTGAGGGTGCTTTTCTTTAGATACGTTTTCAGTGACCTTTGTGTCCACATGCATAAATGTGTGGAGAATGTCCGTTGAAATTGGAGTTGAAAGTGCAAAACAGGTGTGGATATGAAACAAACCGACACTGTAAATTAAAGGCAACTTAATCCTGTTGTCCTTAGGCAAGTTGCTCAGAATCTTCCAAGATCCTTTACCTGAACCTAGGTAGGAAGTTAGCCACATCCACGTCTTATATGTTTTTGAAATTTGAACCCATCACATGAAGCATGTCCAGTGTTGTAGTCGGGCCCCCTTGAGACCATCATAAGACACACAAGACCATCACAATTTACAAGACCAAGGCAAGACCGCCAGTCTGAATTCAAGTCACAAGCTATTCAACTGAACTGTGACTGGTCATGTGACTGGTCTCGTGCCTGGTCTTAAGATGGTCGCAACTTCAATGCTGGCACTGTCAGTTTTCTAAACAGCAACAATTAAAACCTTCAGATTTTCAGGACACTGCATTGAAAATTGCACAATTCGTTGTACTTGTAAATTTGCATTTCGGGAAGCCGAACAAGTCGAAATGGGGCAAGGATGGTATGGAGATTCTCTCCCCCTCCCCCTTAGCCCCTCCTCTAAAAGTCCTCTCAGGGTATGTCCCTGGCTCATTAACGGAGGCGTGGCTGCTTTATGCCAGAATTCTCCAAACTTACACTGAACCTTGATGTAGATTTTGGATGGATGCGGGGTGGCTGACATTTTTCTCCCCAACGCCTTTCAGAGCTGCAGGTGTTGATGGGCAGCTTGCTCTTCATCCGCCAGGGCCTGGAGCATACGCCGTACTCTCACCTCCTCGACCCCATCCAGTGGGACGACATCTGCGACGTCTTCACACAGGACGCCTGCGCCCTGCTGGGCCTGTCGGTGGAAAGCCCTCTGACAGTCAGGCAAGTGGACCCTGAGGAAACAAAGCCAGAATGCCAGTCACAGTTGATCAAATTTTTTGGCAACGGGAAAATGTAAAAATCATTGAATATGTGACCGATGAGTCACTTGGGTACCGCTATATTTCATTGAACTATGCCTGAATAAATCCACATCATCTGATGGTGGATCGTTGACCATGGGCCATGCATTATAATGCCCCAACACATGGTATGACCACACCCAAAAAATGGAATAATCCAATCTTCAGGTGAAAGGATCAACTGATGTTCCATCCATGGTCACACTAATAAGCGGGCACATTTGTGTCAGAGCGACTCGGGTCGACCCAATTGAATTTTGGTTTCAGACAGACGAACTCAATACGTGCATTTGCACACTCGGTTCCGCCCATGGAAAGAGCAGCGTCTGAAACCAGGTCGCTCTGGTGTTCTGAGTGCCTTCAAGTGTCGATCTTTTGCCTGCTGGCACGCCTGGTTGCCCCTAATTGTTTCAAACGTCAAACTGTTGCCAGACTTATTTCAAAATTTGCTTGTAATTTGGTTTGGTGTGACCCTGGAATGCCTGTCTTGAACGGGGTCAAGCTTGTAAGTTTTTTTCTCTGAACCTATGAGACAGTACTTAGCATATGGTGTACTTTGTAGCCCCCCCGTGCACTGTAGAAATAACAAATCCCCACCCCTAGAGCTGCCTATCCATGTACTCTTCCAATGGTAGAATTGTTCGAGTTACAAATATCCCCACCGTGGGGTTTAAAAAATATGACCACACCCTGACATAAGACCTTCAGTGTGGGAAGGGAGGGGGAAGTTGTTGATATGTGCGTTATGCTTGAGGAGGGAAAAGCCTATCTTTATAACCATAAAGAACTTAGAATCTGTTGAATCTGACACAGGAGCTGATTTTTGACACTGTGACACCCCTCGCAAACTTCATTTCAGTACCAATATTGGGCAAGAATCTTGATGTGGGTTGAGCTGGTGCTCACGCATTGACGTTATTGGCCGTGCACCCGCTCAGATCTCGCATACTGTGCTTTCTACGTGAGAAAGACTGGTCCGTCCATGCTGTTAATTGGGCCAGCGTTAAAAGCATGCTCACCTGTTGACGTGTAGAGTTCATTACCTGTTGTCCCCTTGTTCCACACAGTATATCAGCCGGTTGTGTGGCCTTACCAGCCCTGCTCAACATCAGGCAGGTTATGCAGCAACGACAGTGCCAAGTTGTGTGGACCGCCAAAGATGAACTACCAGTTAGTAGTGAATCCTTTTAATTTGAATTGCCCGTACATTTATGCTAGCACCCTTCGTGTTTCCTCCCAAATCCTCCACTGTGCTGGAAATCAGTCTTGGTGATTGAACCTTCAATGGGCATTGTGCAGTGTTGTTGTTGAGATATCTTAAGAGCATCACGAAATCCCACAAGACCAACGCACGACCTCTAGACTGAAAAAATTCAAGTCATCAGCAGCAAAAGTGTCCCTTTGTCATTGTTCACCCTGTTACTCAGTGGTCTGGTAACTGATCTTGAGACTGGTCTTGTGAATGGTCTTGAGACTGGTCTTGTGAATGGTCTTGTGACAGGTCTTGTGAATGGTCTTGAGACTGGTCTTGTGAATGGTCTTGAGGCACGTCTTGTGAATGGTCTTGAGACTGGTCTTGTGAATGGTCTTGAGTTTGGTCTTGTGACAGGTCTTGTGAATGGTCTTGAGATTGGTCTTGTGAATGGTCTTGTGAATGGTCTTGTGAAAGGTCTTGTGAATGGTCTTGAGACTGGTCTTGTGAAAGGTCTTGTGAATGGTCTTGAGACTGGTCTTGTGAATGGTCTTGAGATTGGTCTTGTTACAGGTCTAGTGTCTGGTCTTGTGACTGGTCTTGTGATAATCTAGACTACAACACTGGCATCAAGCACCATGCAAAGTGCATGGCATCTGGGCACCACAATCAGCAAAAGTGTCCCTTTGTCATTGTTCACCCTGTTACTCAGTGGTCTGGTAACTGATCTTGAGACTGGTCTTGTGAATGGTCTTGAGACTGGTCTTGTGATAATCTAGACTACAACACTGGCATCAAGCACCATGCAAAGTGCATGGCATCTGGGCACCACAATCCCTAAATCCTGCAGAATCCTTCTGCAGAAAATCTCACGGTAGATGTGAAAGAATGTCAGAAGGGAGTGGTTAAAAGTCATGTAAGATGTTGATTAGCCTATTTCTCTTTGTGCATGTTTTAAGTACTGCTTGTTAATTAAATTAAATGAATTCTTCAATGTTAATTTCTTTCTTTCCCGTCCATCAGATTGAAGTTGATCTTGGTGAGAACCACCGCTACCATTCCATCTTCGCCTGCCCAATCCTACGACAACAGACATCGGAGACTAACCCTCCGGTCCGTCTGTCGTGCGGCCACGCTATCTCCAGGGACTCTCTCAACAAACTCACCAACGGAAACAAGTGAGAGCTTTGTTTCATTATTTGTCACTCTTAGTAAAGAGGGTTGTAACTTCTCCCAGCTGGGAGTTTTGTCTTAAACTTAAACCGGGATCCTGGCACCCAGATCCCAGATTTGGAAGATTTTGCAGGCACATTCCAGCCATTATTATTGTACATTGGGACTGGGACTGTTAAGGGAATTGGTGTGAACGTGTGATTTGTGCAATTTCAGAAACCAGATCAAGATAGTTTGGGCAGATTTGCCATATTTCGTGTTGCTGACACCCCGAGTGTAGCGTTACATGCTGAAGTGGCTGCAACTGTCTTAACTTGCGAAACTTTGTTTCTTCGATTTTTTTTTCACAGAATCAAATGTCCATACTGTCCGGTGGAGTCATCCCCTGCGGACTCAAAACAGCTCTACCTGTAGTTTGCCTCGATTGCTAATTGTAAATCTCATTGTCTCATTGTATAATAAATACATTATTTAATAGCACTGGGATGCACGAGTTTAAGTTGTTTAATTTCAGAGTCAGATCTGCTCTCTCAGAATATTAAGACACTTTAAGAATTGGCTGTTGACAAAAAGGTATGTAAATAACAATTGATTAAGAATCTGGTTTGTCTTAGAGGGTCATCATTTTGTCTGTTATGAGGTACATTTATGAAAGCTGTTACCTGCTCTCTGAAAAAGAGGAATCCCTCGGGCTGTACTGAGTAATCACATGTTGACTGTTGAGCTGTCTTAAATTTCACCTCCTGGATTTGAATTTGTCAGAATGTTGATTTATGGGAATGGTATTGCTGAATATTGTAGCCAGAATACTTTGGACTGTATTATTACGACACACTAAGCGTTGGAAAGGCACAATAGTGCTGTGTACACTTCAATGATATCTTTGTCCTGGACATGCTGTGGTGTGTTAAACTTGTATGTACATGTACGTGAAAAAAGACACCAACGGTTTGTGAGCATTGAGGTGAAAATTCTCATTGCTCACACTGCACATGTCTGAATTCCTTGCCAATGGCTAACAATACCAGTGCCAAAGGAAGTGAAAGTCTGGCGGCTAAAACTGGTTGCCATAGATGAGTCCGTTATTGCCAGCTGCAGCCATGCACTTTGGACGTGGCCCAGGCCCCTTTCGCATGAGCACACCAGTGTTGGTACATATATACATGTCACCCTTCTCGTGGCTCTCATAACCGTGCAATTTAGCACCATCTGCGGAGTCCATATACTTATTCAAGCACAGCCCTTTCCTCAGTGTTGTAGTTAAGTCCTTCACAAGTCTTTTGTACAAGTCCCGTCACAAGACCCCGTCATAAGACCCTTCACAAGTCCGGTCTTTCGTTAAACTGGGTGAGTGGCGACAAAGGAATTCCTCTTGTCACAGGTTCATTTGAATAGTCTGTGACTTGGATTAAGACCATCTGACTTGGCAATCGTCGTGCAGGGACTTGACTGCAACGTCTCAATTTCTAAGCATCCTATAAGTGTGCAATGATGCTAGTGGCACCACTTTCCTCTTTTACGTACAAACCATAACGAGAGGGTAATTTGCTTTATTTCAGTGTAATCCTTTTCATTTAAGGGGGAAAGGGTATCAGTTGGAATAGGGGGAAACTTTGTATATTTTTGTATATATATAGTGCTTTAGCCTATTACGTATAGTACGCGTCATATTTATTATGTGAATTTTTGTAACATGGTATTTTGTATATGAATACTGTATGATCTGTACAATTGTGGGGGTGCACAGTGGGGGGGTTCAGCAGATTTTTCTTACAATTTTCAACTTTTCGGAGGGGAAATATTCTAAGTTCTTGCAACCTAAGTGAAAGCATCATCTTGTGATCTTTCTATCTACACACGTGCAGCTACTTGATACAAAGTATCATTTGCAATTCTGTGAACACTTGGTTACTTCTTGATCGACAACTGGAGACAAAATTGTGACCAAACCCCTCCATCTAAAATAAAAAAAACAACCAACCAAACAAAAAAAAACCCAGAAACAAAACAAAAACAAAACAAAAAAACCCAAAGGTGTCTCGACTTGCTGCCAGTAATTGTGAGGTCACTGAAAAAAAGCAAAAAAACAAAACAAAAACAAAACAAAAAACCCCGGTGTTTGAGAGTGAGAAACTTAACGGAGTTTTCAGTGTTTCCTCAGAAAGTTTCTACTGGTCACACTTTTCAACACGTTGCATTCTGAGTACCCTGCACAGTATTTCAATACCTTCTCTTAGCTTGGAATAAAAAAAGTGACTTTGCCTCCAAGAAATCCTAGTACCTGATGGAAGTAACTGAAAAATTAATTGCTTCTCGATTGTGTGACAGTTTATGAAACTTGAGGAAATTACCTATGTTGATTTGCTTGCATTGTTGAGAAATGATGGTAAGCTGTGCCCTTGAAGTCAGGATGCTTACACTAAGGGTATGGGGGTGGCTGCCGCAAACGTATTAATGTCACAGCTATATGCACTGTTATAGTTTAGCTTTTAATTGAGTGGCAAGACTCGGAGGTCTGGGGCACTTAGCGAGGTGCATCACTGGCACTGTGCCTTGACAAAGGATTGTGTTTTATTAGTGAAAATGATCCCTTGCCGTTCCCACTACCAATTCTCCAAGTTTATCTCGGCAGAAGTAATTTTATCCCGGAATAAAACTCATTCTTGCGGAAATACAATGTAGCGAGTGTCAAGAGTTTTTTTATTGATCTGCTGAAGCCATTGTGAATTTTTTCGTCAATGACAATCATGAAACTTGAGAATCAGCTAAATTGAGACTCCGTTAATATACTGGGCATTCACAATTCGTCCGTGCTTATTTACTCTGAGACCAAAAAGGTAAAACATGGGGAAAATAATGAGCCGGCCCACTGGAAAAATTCCTGGATACGCCTCTGGGACCATGCCTAAATTATGCCTTGACCTCCTCAAGTCTCAAGAAAAAATACACTCAGAGGTATAACTCCTGTGGATATACCGTTTGATTAGATGGTGGGCCAGTTGATCATCTCTTAATTTTAAACGGTGAAAAAAACGTCTTTTTGTGGTAGTTTTCAAACTTCCCTACTGCCAGAATTTACTCCAGATATCACAGAAATACTGCACAGTTCGCCCGGAACTTGCGCGCCCATTGTCAGCTAGAAATCTATTATCTTCTTAACCCCCCCCCTTTGTGTTCTTATGTGTTTGTTTTCCCTCTGTCGATTTTTATTGAATTTAATTTATAACAGTCACGACACACGCCTGGCAGCTACCAGCCGAAATCGCCCTTGACCAGCATGCACCAGAGAAGCACAGTGGGGTTAAGATATAAGTGGCCGCTCCTGAGCGGCAATATGTAAAGCGTTTGCCGCATTGTTTGCTGCTTTGTTCTTCGATCAAACTCGTGTTTTTTTCCAGATCGAGATTTCGTTTCCGAGTCAGCTCTATGCTTCGGAAGCTTTTATGAGTGAACGAGCTGCGTCCCTAGGGTTGAAAGCTCAACGGAACTGTGCCAATAAAGAAAAACCGGGAAAATATTAGATATGGGTCATCATTTTGGAGTATTGTCCTTTCCTTCCAACAGGAAATTCGAGAATAAATTAAGAGTCTTCTTCCGAGATATGTAGCTAAAAAGGAACCATGTCGAAATTTTATACAAGTTTAAGTTTGCCTATGAAAACAAGTCATTGGTAACTTAATTGCGGCTTATGCTATTTCGTTGGATATAGGCATATATAATCTGCTAGAATTAATGTTGTTAAGGAATACTTCCGTGAAAGAAATCGTGACCTCGAGAACTGGAAATGAAACCGATAGGCCCTATTCGATACAAATGTGATAACGATGTTCCATTTTGTGAAATCGGCTGCAGATTGAGGAGGCTAGTATGTCCACTCACTCATTTCCTGAAAACGTCATCTGCGTAGAACTTCTCATCCTATTATTTTTCACGCACATCCGAAGCACCGATGACGTCACGTTAGTACACAAGATGGCAGTGGCGACTCCGTGCGGAACGAATCGCTGCGGCAATGAACGAAAACAGCTGAGAAAAGAACTAGAGAGGGGCCGGAAAAACCTCATTGCGTATATTGGTAAGGAACAGATGTCGTCGTGTATCTGTGGGTTAATATATTTGCAGGAAATGGGACGATAAGATGGAATTTTAGTTGTTATTTTGTTGCGTTTTCGTATCAAAATATTGTGAAGCTGTGTCGCCTATACACGTACGTACTTAGGCCCGTTGCATAGGCCTACATGCATGTTATTGTAATGTAAATACCGCATTGATGGGCTACATTGCATGCACGTTGTGCACGATGAGTAACCTTGCTGTTCATGCTGTTGCATGCACAATGATGTGAAGGACATCAAGGGAATGGCCGTGTTTCAGTTGTCCTATACATGTATGATGTAGTACACACATAAGGAAAGAGTTCCACTATGGACAGCACTTGATCATTTGGTGCCCCAGTGCACAAACCAGTGTGAGACTTGACTGAAGTACCAACTTTCTTCTGAGTAGGCTTGGACCTGGTGCTTCAGAATTTTCTTAGCTAAATTTCACTGTTTAGGATATAATATTATTACGGTTATCACATCCTATATATGGAACTCTTTCTGACTGAGCATACCATCATAAACATATTTCAGTGCACATTCGTCCCTTGAAATGCTAAATGCTTAGAACTGTCATGTGTAAGGGTTCAGCGTTACGTATTTTGGGAGATATGTGAAATCGGCACAAGGATCAAAGTTAGATGGTTCAGCTGTCACTGACTGTTCAACAATTTCATTGGCATAAACTGTAGCACTAACCAGGGCTGAATGGTGGGCACAATTGCAGAATACCCCATCATTCATCTAGTCCACCTCGTATCCGAATACGGAGTCACGCTTGACTGGTCACTCATACAGCTCCATCTTAATATCTGTGTAGCCACTTCTCGGAACGTTGGACTAAAGGTTAGACACTTCGTATACCCATATTCATTCCCCAGGATCCACATTGGACTTGGATATTTTTTCCATCTTCCCCATTCAGTTTATGTTTCATGTCACGATACAGGTTACGTTACATGACACGACATTATTCCTTTGGAGGCTGTCTCCGAATCCCCATATTCCCGTAGCCACTCCCGGGAACCCTCATTGGACTTAAATATTTTTTGACCTTCCATTGATGAGATGTGTATGATTGAAGTGGATGCTTCGTTCTCTAAAATGACTTTGATGCTCCACACAGCCACATGCTGAGACATTGCAAGAAAAATTTCTTTACGGAAACTAGGGCCCTTGCCCAGGAGCTCGACAACCTCCAATGCATAGCAAACGGACTTCGTCATTCGATCGACTGCGTAGCCATTGAAGTTTATGGGGTATTTTTGCGTGGCAGGGTATTCTGCAATTACTCCAAATGGGGACAGTAGCATTTAACATGAAATCTTGATTTTTATCGCTTTCTAACATGTCTAAATTGCTGATAAATTATTGTTTCAGGCCTCGTCATGGAAAAATCTCAGGCCTTATTTTATGATATCCTTGCATGGAATTCTTACCATGCAGTCTAGTATCTAGAAACATGAATCTTATGTTTCCAGATACCAAGATGTGCATGTACTTTTCTGATATCATTTTGATGTCATTAGATAAATACGTACATACATGTAATAATCAGTCAACAAGAATCCTTGCTTTGTCACACTCCCTGACATGGCCAACACTCCAGTGTTGAATGTTACCTACATGTATTTGAAATGAGAGTGAAACATATGTGTATTTCTTCCTTCCTTTGTTTGAAAATGTTACTCATTGCTGATTCACACTTGCCACCTGGGCCCAATTTTGTAGTCTTCTGCTAAGCACAGGATTTTACGCTCACAGAAGCCCCATGTATTTCATAGAGATGGTAAGCAGTAAACATAAAAAGGCACTCTAACCTCAGAGGAAACATTTGCTTACCTTAGTGATGTAACATTAGAAATCTCTCTGCATGTGCAACCGTTAGCACAGCCTCGCCATGAAACCAAGCACTGCTATGAAATACATTTAGTGCTTAAGGTTAGCAAATTTTTTTGTTACAATAAGCATGACTTTTCTGCTTGTACTGTTAAGCAGCTCCTTGAAATTGGACCCTGACCTGGTGCAGTGTAAAATTGCGCACTATTTTCATGAATTTAGTGTGGTTGGGGTTATCAGACAAGTATTAAAATGAAAGAGTTCATGCGTGTACATGTACATGTAGGTATATTGCCCACTCACCTGCTACATGTATTTGTTCATACCAAATGTACCCTTCTAATATATTGTTTGCTTTTTAATCGATATTTTTGCAGACTATAGCGATTCAAAGATAAAAGATTACCTAACCATACAGACCTAAGTAGATGTACATGTAATTTATAATGTTCACTTGGAATATTACTCATTAAAACTACACATAGGGTATTACACATTAGCAGACAGTGTATGAGCACCCTATACATGTACATGTATGTGATTGTACAAGCATGTGAACAAGCACTGAGAGTATTTTGGGCTTGATATTCATGCATACAGTGTACATGTACATGAATGCACGCTGCCAATCAAGGTATACAGTAGAACTGGCATTGTGCTGGACAGTGTAATGGACATGTATGTGTACATGTGACTGAATTATGAGAGTCCTTTTATTGTTTTGTAACACACCTTTGTCTAAAATGTAAATTAAAAAAATAATTTTTTTTAAGGGTGTTATAATCGTTTTAATTCAACCGTACAAGTACTACAGTATATGTAAGTGATTCAACGAGTCATTCGACAATTAAAGGGACATGTTTAGTTTCCCTCCGTGTAGATTCAGTGTTTGAGTCGCTGTTTCCTATCATGTCATGTGAGGGTGCTGTAACCAGTCATAAATTTTGAGTACTACAGCCCGTTCCCACATGATCCACCAATTGGGGGATCTGATCCACCTTTTCCCAAATTGCCGGATCAGATCCCCCAATTGGTGGATCAGATATGGCAATTGTGTGTAGCGGGAACGCTAACTGTTATAAGGTGGATCAGGATCAGATTTACCTTTCTTGATCCTCCTCTGGAGCAGGATACAAATCCCCCATTTGGTGGATCAGATCCTGCAATTGGCGGATCACGATCAGATGGGAACGCAAAATGTGGATGTGATCCGGCAATTCGACCTGTTAACATCTGTCTGTGCACGAGTGGCTCAAAACTTTTGTGGTCTGATGGACAAAGAAATACCTTTTTGGCATGTAGCTCATGTGAGTTTTTTAATGTGCACAGCATGCACAATAAACAACTGCTTGACTATGGGCCAGCAAAATGTGTCACCACGCATGCACGATGCATGCATGCCGCGATGTGTACCTAGTCCTTTCACAATTTTCGTTGCACATTCGTCCGTTTCGTAACCTTTTTCATTTGTGTAATTTCACTTGCTTTCCTTCAAAAACTAATTCTGTGTTAGCGTATAACCTGCAGCGTGTAACAGAGTATCCAAAACGGAAGCAAAGTTTGAAGAGACAACGTACTAGGCTGAACATTTGGTCCGTTTCAAGGTCGTCATTTTAGTAGAAGCCTGCACCCAAAACACCGCAGGGTCACACGCATGCCGCCCCAGCACGCAACACTGCCACAGAGCGCGCGCTCAGCAAGCTAGCACATGCACGATATTGAACTCAGTGACCTTTTAGGCTCAACATTTCCGTCCGAAAAGGTGGATCAAGTGTAAGTGGGCACATGACTTGCCGTTTCATTGCGGTAAGATAATGATCACACCAAAACGCCGGATCAAGATCCACCTTTTCCCAATTCAAGTGGGAACGCGCTGTTGATGCTCGACTGGGCACTATTCTCTGGAATTCATGCGTGCAATGTCATGGTGTTATTTACGGTACACTGACACAAACTCATGTACTACATGTACCGGTAGTTAATTAGTGAACTGCGCATGGCCTTATGTCAACCAACCAGGATGCGAGAGGTTTGCCACAATCTCATTTAAAAAGTGTCTCTGTTCCCACATTTAATAAACGGTGTAGAAAGAGAAAACAGAAACCCCTCTCCCAAGGGCTTTGTCATTTTATTTTCATGGTACTGGTAGTCATCCTGTCCAAGTTGACATTGTAAGGGCACCCTTTTTTTATTCTGTGGTTCTCCTATCTTGTTCAACTTGAGGGAAGGTTGATCCATTGGAAAAAAGGCCCCCCCCCAAAAAAAATCGGTTCTCCCCTACCTGACCATGCCTACAGATGACTGAATAAACCAGGCAAAGTGCACAATACATGTATATACATGTACATATACTTGTCCCTTGTTTTAATATCGAGTTCCATGGGTATTAGTTGGGGACTACATGTACATGTACAGTACATTTACATGTAAGAGGTATTCTGTGAGTTCACAATATTTGAATTTCAAGAACTCGAGACCAATTTATTAAACTACAGCTGACAAGTGTGACTATGGTGATAATGCTACCAACAAGGATGTAGGGTGGTGTGTGGGAGGTTTTGTTCTTTTCTGTATTCTCAATGTTCTTTTATGTTACAAAATAATCAATTTCATAAAAAAGGTAGAATTTTTAGTGGGATATTGTGTTTTTACCCTTATCGGTAGCAAGAAAAATACAACACTTGACTTTAACAAGTCAAATGGGAAGGAATGCTGCAGGTACCATGCCGCTGCCAACATTGCAACTCTGCTCTTTCGAGTCAGTGTCAAGACGTTGTGTTCATACGTGTAGTGTACATGTACATGTATGCTGATCAGTGCATAGCACATGTACATGTCACTCAGTTTATGCTGGACAGTGCATTGGGTGCGGTATGATATGTACCCCTTGTTGTGATGTGGTATTGAAATTGTTCTGTGGATTTCGGCTGTCACTTCTTTGATGTTTGGGCTAAATCATATGGCTCACGTCCATTTCCAGCGCTGTTTTTGTACATGTATTTTGTCAGAACTTATTTTTTTTTGCAGGGTCGGTAGAAAAAAAAAATCTTTTTTTAGGTTGGAAGCCAAAAATACAGTCAATAGGAAAGAACCATACAATTAAAAATGGGTGCCCAAATCTACTGGAAAGTAAAAT